GGTCGACAAGGTCGTACTCAACGACGTGCACGGGTCGGCGACCGCGGGTGAGTTTGTTGTGCTCATGGGTCCGTCCGGCGCCGGCAAGTCGTCGCTTCTCGATGTCATTTCGGGTCGCCAGTCGGCGACGTCGGGCTCTGTCCTCGTCAACGGCGCGCGCTGGTCCAAGGCGTCGGCCAAGCACGCGTCCTACGTCATGCAAGACGACGTCTTTTACGAGACGCTGACGGTCGAAGAGCACCTTTTGTACCAGGCCGAGCTCCGCATGGGCAAACTCTTCAACCCATCGCAGCGCCAAGCGCGCGTCGACTTTGTCATCCAGGAGCTTGGTCTCGGCAAGTGCCGCAACGCGCCCATCGGCGGCGACAAGATCCGCGGCATCTCGGGGGGCGAGCGCAAGCGTCTCAGTTTCGCGACCGAGATCTTGACCAACCCGTCGCTCCTCTTTGCGGACGAGCCCACGTCGGGTCTCGACTCGGTCATGGCCGAGTCGGTCGTGCTGCAGCTGCGCCAGCTCGCACGCGAGGGCCGGACGGTCATTGCGACGATCCACCAGCCGTCGTCCGAGCTCTTCCCGCTCTTTGACAAGCTCTACTTGCTCACAGAAGGCGAGACTGTTTACAACGGTCCGGCGTCCGAAGCGGTCGCGTACTTTGCGGCGCAGGGCCACGCGTGTCCCAACTACATGAACCCGACCGACTTTTTCATGCGCCAGATCATCCAAGCCGATGGCACCGACACGTCCAAGGCCCGCGTCCAGGCGCTCGTCAAGGCGTGGGCGACGCACTTGACCACGGCGCCAGCGTCGTCCGAGTCGAGTAACGAAGAGTTTGACGATGACAACGGCTACACGCAGACGCACATGGGGCTCATGGGCCAGCTGCGCGTGCTCACCAAGCGCAACGTGACGCGCCTTGTCCGGGACAAGATTGCGTTTGGCGCGCGCCTCGGCCAGAGCATCTTTACGTCCATCTTTGCGGGCCTCATCTTTTGGCAGATCAAGATGTCGCAGTCGGGCGTCCAGTCGTTCACGGGCGCGCTCTTCTTCATCGCGATCAACCAAATGTTTGGTGCCGCGACGCCCGAGTTTATCGCGGTGCCCATGGAACTGCCCATCATGCGCCGCGAGTACGACTCGGGTCTCTACCACGCGTGGGTGTGGTACCTCGCCAAGAACGTCAGCGAGCTCTTCTTCCAGCTCGTCTTTCCGCTTATCTTCCTCGTGCCGCTCTACTTTATGATTGGCTTTGACGCGTCCGACGCGACGCTCTTCTTTAGCTTTTACCTCTTCATCA